AATTTGTATTTTCAAGAGCCTACTAGATATTTCTACATGGATACTCTACAGAGACCTCAATCTCAACAGGTCCAACACAGAATTAGTTATATTTTTTACTCCCCAGACTGTTCTTTTCCCTGGGTCTCCTCCTTTAGTCTGTGACAGCACCATCTTCCCATTTCCCTAAACTGGAGGCCTGAGAGGAAGACCCTGCTTTCTTCACTCCCAAACTCACTTAATTTTATCAATCATTTATTCAAGAAATTTGGGCTTTGTATGTCATCAGCAATAAGGAGACTGAAGATGTTAACAAGTTTCAACCTATATTTTCAGAGGATAACATTGCTGGCCCATGAACGATGGATCTAAAACATAAGAGACAGGAGGTTGGGAGACCAGTTTGAAAGTCATTACCACGGTTGCAGCAGTAACACAAGAACAACAGTCATTTTATTGCATCCCTGTGTTATGTCAGACAACAAACATTATTTAATAACACTAGAAAGTCAACTTCACAAACTCAGCAACTTTGTTCTCCTCCTGGATGTGGTTCCAGTACCTAGATTTTAGAGTAAAGTAGCAGCTCAATGAGCATTGGTTAATCAAATGAATGAATTAAACCTCTGGACAATAATGGAAAGTAAATAATATTACCATTTTTTTTTAAAGATGAGGAAACTAAGGCTTAGAGAAGTTAAGTAACTTGTTCCAGACTGCACATTGATTGGACTGGGTAATGAGGACTTGAACTCAGGCCCTTCTGACACCAAAGCCTTTCCCTCTATATTTATGCTCTCTATTGATAATGAGGTCCTGAATTAGGACAACTGGGGGGAATGACAGGGTAATTTTGAAAGAACCTGTGCAGCCGGCAGAACAGGTCTTGGAGACTAGATGCAGGGAATCAAAGGATGGATGAGTCAGAAAACAAGCAAATTATAGGTGGATATTTAAAATTCTCAGGTTGGGAAGACCAAGTTTCCCAACCTGAGATACACATACTCTGGACATTTGTGGGCTTATGTCAAGCTATATTCAGAGACAAGGACAAGCATGGTGGCACCTCTTTCTGGAATATCACTTTAATAACCTGCAAAGTCTGGGAAATGCATGATTTCACTGTCTGAGCAAGGGAAACCAGCAGAATCTCACTTTTTCTTGTTCACAAAAATTGGGTGTGGGTTTTTATTCCTAAAACATCTGAGACTAGAAAATTATATATGTGGTGAATGATTATATCTTATATTAGCCAGTTGTAAGGTTAAAAACTCTCTAGTCCCATTGTAAGGTTAAAAACTCTAGTCACCTCAGAGTGAACCAACTGTATGGAAGCTGAAAACGTTTGTGCTGAGACACGAGTGTGCTGAACAAATACTACTCACGATATAATCAAAGCACAACTCATTTTTAGTCTCTCACTATTGCTTTAAAATAAATTCAGC